TGGGTGTATTTGCCAGCCCTTTCTTTCTTGCTTGTACTCTTTAGTCATTTACAAAGATTGAAGATATAGTCTTTGGTAAAAATATTCTAGATATTCGCTCCTTCAAAATCATTCAAACTGTATAATTATAAGGGTAATAAGAATTTAGAAGAAATAAGGATTCTAACTCTATTGGACATAAAATCATCAAAGAATGCGCAAAATCATTCATTCCATCTTTACAGAAACGATTATGGTTTGTGAAGGTTTGATAGAGAAAATAATGTTCCTGTTGGCGCTGAATTAAAAGCATCATTCAAGTACCAAACATAAGAAACAAAATAGAGCTCATATAATCCAATTAATTTAAATATGCAACCACAATGCCATTCGTCAGACAAGGAAAGTTACATGTGCAAGATAATTAGCTCCAGTATAGAGGTTCAATTCATAAAAGTTTTGGTTACAGGACTAAGATAAGGATGTGAAAACATATTTGTAAGGCTGAGAAAAACCAAAACCATAATGGTGTGGTATGAAATTACTTGAAAATTAGTAGTTATCTCATATTGATTATGCTAAACAAAAATTAAACCCTGGTTTTTGAAGAATCCCCTAATACATTGATGTTGAAGTACGCCGAGGATCTATTCGTACAAATCTACAGTCAAAGCACCAAGGCACTCCCCCCTACAGCTTCCGATGAGGCTAATAAACGAATCTCTTGCACTCGCCCCTTCACGCAAAATGAAAGGTACTCCAACACCCTAAAAAGTGTTGTATGCGACTATCAAGGATTGGAGTGGTTATAGACCATACCATCTGATAGTCAAACCATCCACGTTTAGTAGCAGGGAAGGGTTGATTTTGTTGTTTAAATTGCCCCCTCAAGAAGAAGCATTCGCAAAAGACTTCATTTTCTACCAAATCTCAAATCAGCACACTAAGTGGATTAGAATCGTGTAAGAACAACACAAAGGCCCCATGATTCTAGTCTGGTTGGGTTAAGGGGTAGATATAGCTTAAGGCAAGAAAATGTTTTAATAGATAAATGATAATGTTTTAAATATTTTCGTATATTTCTTCAGCATTAATGGCGTAAAGTAGTTAGAGTACTATGTATGTTCGATGCTAGGAATGCACAAAGTTGCGAATTAACTTTTAAGCTTGTCTTCTGTTAAATTCGTCCTGACATTTTTACTAAAACTTGTCGCAACGCCATTGAAAAATGTTGATTTATATGATACAATAGATAGAAAATCTATAGGTGCGGTGCGGACATAACAAAATTTTCCTGAATTTATACAAGTTCGTTGGGGGAATGATATGCTGTAAAAAGTCTAAAAGAAGTTATTCACTTAATCTTCGGTGTAAAATATTATGCAAATAATAGTGGTCTAGGTTTATTAATGTATGAGTAAATAAGGCAAAAAATACAAATAAATAATATAGCTGAACTAGAAAAACATGCTTTAACAGGTATGGGGGAATGCTGATAAAATGTTAAAAAAACGTTTTCTTATAATCTAGAAACGTATAGTGAGCTTACTAATATAATGCATGCTGCAAAGGAACCAGCAAAATGTCTGTTCTTTAGCATTGTGATATAAACTGTAATAAGTGGAAAATCAAAACACAAGTAATAATATGAACAAAAGTGACTCAAACATCTACCAAATATACGTTTACATAGTTAATTTAGAAGGGATACCACAAATGTAGGTTAATTTCAAGACAAGGTTACGTGGCAGTAAATGAGGTCGCCGCCCTATTTAGGCGCAAACAGCTCAGTTGCTGTCATATTTGACCATGATCATGACCAAGAGAATATAGACAGAACGGATATAAAATCACAATGAACAAAGATAATTAACAGTGCTAAGTTTGACTAGATAAAAAAAACATCAAAATACGTTATTAAAAATATTCGCCTTTCTTTCTTATAATAGCAACAATGTTTTAGAAGGATAGTATAAAATAGTATATGACAGTATTCAGAGAATATTCAAAGAAAACGGTCTTTGGGAAGCATTTCAGGTTAAATTTCAAAGCAATCTCATGCGCCCACTTAAGTATACTGACTATCAACTTTTCAGACAATGTGAAAATGGTGCATATTGACAACATAATGAACCCGCAAAGGAATCAGGGTCACTTTCCACAGATGACTGCCTAGTAAGCATGAGTTGTGAAACAAAATGAAAATAAATGTGATCAAATACGAAGAATAACCTGGAATAAGATTGATGTGAAGATTTCGATTTTTTATGGAAACACATAATGAAGAGATTCTTAGGTCAATATCACCAGACGTCGGTTGATTTACACTGAATTGCAGCCGTTTAGCATTAATAAAAAGTTTAGATTTACGCAGTTCAAGAGACATCTTCCACTGATTCGGGCGAAGACAGACTTAACTGTTTTTCATGTGAGGAAAATCTTCAGAGTTGGGACTCATTATTGCAAAGGCCTCAAGTTAGCACTAAAGCAAGAAGACTAAGCTGATTAAATTAAGTTAAGTAAGGCCTCCATTCTAAGGCTACTTAACCTATCCATAAGTAGTATATATTTCACATTGGACGGTAAGTTTTACTACAGACACAAGGAATTGCAATTGTTTCTTGCTTAGCTCCAATTTTGGCAAATAACTACATGCATAAGTTTGAGAAACGCTTTATGCAAGAGATAATTCTGACTCATGAATTGTATGTGAGATATATTGATGATTATTTTGTGATCTGGCAGCATGGTAAAGATAGTTTAGATAGTATCCTACTTTAGCCTAACCAGTATGAAAGAAATAATAAATTCACGATGGAACTAAAAGAAAATATGAAATTATCTTTTTTAGGTTATGGTTAATAGTAAAGATGGCAAGTTAGACAGAGATGTTAATAGGAAACCAGGATATACTGGATTTGTTCTTAATTTTTTAAAACCATAGTTACAAAACTAAGTTTTGCATTTAAAAATCTATGATCAATAGTAC